TGACGGGTCGGTAATGAGGGAGGCAAGGACCCGAGGAACAAGAGGACGAGCAGCACGAAGGAAGTGAGATAGAGGGGGAGGCGTGACAACGAGGGATGACGGAGGAGGTGAACGCAAGAGGGGAGGACGAGACGCGTGGGAACGAAGCAACATAGGCTGAGAACGCTGAACAGGAGAGGCAGGACGAGCACGAGAGGGACGCTGAGACCAGACGTGAGACGGAGGCGTCAGGTCAGGGGACAGGGGAGGAGACACAAGAGGGGAACGAGGGGGAAGACGCGCCAGAGTCGAGTCCGGCGGAGAGAACACAGGGCCGTAGACAGGAAGAGGAGGAGGCGGCGGGGGAGGCGCAGGCGAGCGGTCAGGGGAGGGAAGGCCGAGAAGGCGAAGGGCGGACACCGGCCGCGTCTGCTGCTGCTTCTGCTCGACGCCGACACTTGGACCGCCAGTTGCACCACGGCTACCTCCGGAACTCTCTACTCCAGCACCCCCAAAACAGGCACCCCCAGAGCAAGAACTCTCTCCAGCACCGGTGCCACCCCAAGTCCCGCCGGGACAAGCCTCGACAGGAACCGCAGGACTAGCCACCTCTTCAATGCCAGCACCCCTAGAGTCCACGAACGGCAGCTGCGGCGACGGCTGCGGCTGCTGCTGCAGTGGCGACTGCGGCGGTTGCTGCGACGGCGGAGAAGGAGACACCAGGGGGGAGGCAAGCAGCGAGAACGACGCCGCGGGGCCACCAGAGTCAGCCGACTCCTCGACAGGGACAACCGACGGGAGGGGAGTGACGTGAGACACACCAGACGGAGTAGGGCGGGGAGGGAGGGGAGCAGGGGCTACCGGGGGAGTGGGAACCAAAAACAGGGGCGGGGAAACCGGGAGACCTCGGTGCGGATATCGGTGGTAAAAGGAGACATACTTGTCGAAAGTGACGCCACGCGAGTGAAAGAAGTGGTGAGACGGCGGGTGGTAGAAGTGCCAGTCAGACTAGGCAAGGGGGAACTCGAGGAAGACACAGGGGACAGTGCGGGTAGTGAGCTTGTCCGTACCAGAGGCATGAACGTGAACAAGGCAGCCCCAGACATGGAACACGGACGCATCACCAGGGAACCCTGTCCAAAGAAGGGTCGGCGAAACCTACGGCCGCTGGTAGCGCGACCACATGTTAAGCTGGTGAGCGGCGTAGCAAACGACGAACGGCCACAGAAAATGGGGTGCACTGCCATGAATCATGGAGGTATGAGCCACCTCCATGACCAAGCTGCTGCGGAGAGTCCGGTAGGGTGTACGACTAGGTGATGCCCTCCGCACGACAGAGCTGACAAAGCCGACCAGAAGCGAACTCGCCGCCACGGTCGGAGTGAAGACACAGTACAGGGAGACCGCGGTGAAGTCGCACAGCTATGACCCACGGGATAAGAACGCCAGGCACGTCGGCCTTCCGCTCCAGGGGAAACACCGTGGTGTAGCGCGTGAAGTCATCGACGAGCACGAGAAAGTAGCACTCGCCATGATGTCCAGGGACGGGTGCTGGGCCCCAGACGTCTAGGTGCAGGGTCTGGACGGGTGCGGTGGCAGGGCGAAGCGAGGAGGAGTGAGGAGCATGGCTCAGCCGGCCCTCAACGCAGGGCGTGCACGGCGGCGCAAGCAAGGGAGGGAGGGCAGGAAGCGGCGCAGGGAGACCTAGAACTAGACCATACTGAGACATGTGACGTAGACATGAGAGTGCAGGGTGACCTAGGCGGTGGTGCCACAGAAGCGACAAATGAGTGAGCGACTGATACGAGTAGGCTGCGCTGACCTGGGTAGATGCGGGACCCAAGGAGGACGTGCCCACCGTGGGGAAAGCAGTGTCTAGCGTAAATAGGCCAGACACCGGGTCCCAGGGGAACGTCGGAAGGGGGGCACCTGAGGCGGCCTCGGTACAGACATCGTACCGCTCGTGACGAGTGAACGTAGTGGTAACGCCGAGGTCCTGGAGACAGCCGACACCAACTAAGTTCCTGGAGAACGAGGGAATGTGTAGGCCTGTAAGGGAACCCGAGGGGGCCGTTGGACAGGGGAGGGTAGTGGAAATGCGAGCAACGACAGGACCAGAAAAGGGGTCAGCAAGGGCGAAAGATGCAAGGGCTGCTAGCAGCGTGAGGGTGGCGTGGTCGCGGAAGTAGCAGGCAGACGCACCAGAGTCAAACCTGAAGGACAACGAAGTAGTAGGTGCGAACGAAGGAGGAGCAAGGGTACAGCCCAAGCTAGACAAAGCAAACAGTCCTATGCCTGACGCAGCAGGGGAGTCTGTACTACATACAGGTGCCACACCTAAGCTAGAGAACACAGGGTAATAAGATCCAGACACACAAGAAGCGCCAGCATACAGAGAATGCAGGGCAAAACTAATCCGATCCATGTTTAAGTCAAATACAGGCACACCGTGATGGAGCAGACTGGGCCAGTCGGGGAGGTCCGGGGCCGGGCCGAAGCGGCGACGGAAGAGGTCGTCGAGGCGGTGGAAGCAACGGGCGGTCAGGTGCGGGTGGCGGCACACAGTGCCACGGAGGGGCCCGGTCTGAAGCTGGTACTGGCAGCTCACAGCACCGAAGCCGCCGGTAGACGCCAAGCTGCGGGGGCCGCCACTACGGCCACCACCTCCTGGGTCTCCTGGCCACCCCGGCAGGAGGCGAGCCCAGGACTGCTGCTGCTGCTGCTGTGGCGTCTGCTGCTGCTACGTCTGCTGCTGCTCTAGGACACCAGCCCCAACCCCCTCGTCCGAACCACTGTCCCCGCCACCACCACTACCTCCACCAGCGCCACCACCACTCCCCCCCTTGGGGCCGCGGTGGCCCTGACGCTGTCGCTGTTGTGGGAAGGCCGCAGCAGCGGTCTCAGTTGCCGGGGCAGCCGTAGCGACCGTGGCGGAAAAGTCAGTGTACGTGCACTGGGAGGGAGCACAGCCCTGAAAAATAGGGACTGCCGCAACAGCGCTCAACTGAGTGATAGTGCGCTGGCGAGTCTCTATCTTAGACAGGGCCGCGACAAAGACAGTCAGGGTGAGGTCGCCTCGGTGCGGGCTAAGGAAGTGGTCTCGGGCACTGGCTAAGCGGTCAGGCAGGTGCATGGCAATAAGGTAGAGGGTAGCACAGAACGGTGGGGGGAAAGCAGTGAGTTGGGCGACATTGCTAGCAGCGCGGTAGCTAGTCTCTAGTGTACGGAGGTGACTGGCGAGATCAGCGACAGTGGGGAAAGCAGAGAGATCAGAGAAGAGCATATGGAGGATCAAGCGTACAGCTGAGGCGGAGGCAGGCGTGTAGTAGTGTGCAACTACTGCATCTAGAAAGTCTTTGGCGTTTGCTACAGCAGTGAAGTGGGGACGCTTGGATAGGGGAAGCGCATGACTAATGGCAAGCTGTGCTACAGCATCGCGAGAATCCCAGACAGCGCGAGCGAGCGCAGCAGCAGCTAAGGCCTCACTCTCAGCAGTGGTGGGGTCAACAGGGAGGGGATCAGGTGCGGGGGGGCGGGGAAGCAAGCCATCAATATGCATAGCCAGGGAGTGCCCATCCTGGCGCTGACCTGTCACGTGCCGGCGAAGATCGACCAGCCAGGCGGCGAAGTCGATCGCGTGCCCCTCCGTGTCTAGGCGTAGCATGGTGTTCGCCATCGCGCAACCTCAACGGCACAGCGGCACAGGGACACGAGTACTCAGCTGCACGGCGGTACTGTGGCGTGGCGGAAGGACTCTGCGGAACGGGGACCGGGCGGAAGGCCAAGGAGGGCGCAAGAGGGCCGGTGGGCGCGTGAGGAGCCAGCGGATGCGCAAGGGGCCGAGGTGCACGAGGGGCCGGCCAGGCGCGCAAGAGGCTGGGCAGGTGCGGGAGGGGCCGGTGCGCAGAGAGGAGCCGGCAAGGCTCGTGGGGCCGGCGGTGCGCAGGAGGGGCTGGCTAGGCGGTAGGGGCCGGCTAGGCACAAGGGGCCGGTTGGGTGAGAGGGGCCGGCTAGGCAAGAGGGACCGGCTAGGCGCAAGGGGCCGGTTAGGCGCGAGGGGCCAGCTAGGCGCGAAGGGCCGTCTAGGCGAGAGGGGTCGGCTAGGCATGAGGTGCCGGCTACGGCGCGAGAGGGGCCGTCTGGGCACGAAGGGGGGGGGGGGCGGCGGCTAGGCGAGAGGGGCCGGCTAGGCCGGGGGGGGGGGGGGGGGGGGGGCGGCTAAGCGCGAGGGGCCGGCTAGGCGCGAGGGGCCGGCTACGGCGTGAGAGGGGCTGGCTGGGCGCGAAGGGGCCGGCTGGGCGCGAGGGGCCGGCTACGGCCCGAGGGGCTGGCTACAACGCGAGGAGCCGGCTACGGTGCGAGAGGGACCGGCTGGGCGTGAAGAGGCCGGCTAAGCGCGAGGGGCCGACTAGGCGCGAGAGGGGCCGGCTGGGTGCGAGAGGCCAGCTGGGCACGAGGGGCCGGCACATCGCGTAAGAGTCAGCAGGCACGCTAGGGGCCGGCGGACGCGCTAGGGGCCGGCGAGGCGCAGTAGGCTAGGGCGCGGGGCGGAAGCGGGTGGGTGGACCTAACCTACTCATGATACCATGTTAGAACTTAGAATACTAGAATGATTAGAAAGAAGAGAGAACAAGGGAGATATAGGGTTTGGGTTGTACTCTCTAAGAATACACACCTATTCTAGCCTATAACTTCTACATGCAAATGTATGTATAAGTTGACAGAGCGACCAGCTAGGTGAAGGAATATATGCAGCTGACGCAGAGCAGATACTACGCCACGCTTGTGCTCTATCAGCCACACACGATGTATCGCATTGTATACTACGTAGCTGAGAGTGGGTGAGCGGAGCGGGTGGGGAGTGAGAGCGGGACCTGGAGGGCGTGCGCGGGCATAGGGATGCGCGATAGTTGCGGTAGCGATAGGCGCAGGTGATTTGGGCGCACAGTGAAGCTCCTGCTGTTTGCGTTAGAGTTTTCCTCAAGGCTCTGCCGTGACTAAACGAAAACCGCTTTCCCGTAACACGTGCTTGGGGGTTCCGCTTGGTTCGCTACAGGTGTCGAAAGGACGATACAAAGCACAAAGAGTAGTTATTCAGAAATACGTTCCTTCACATGTGCATCATCACTACAAAAAACAAAACTTGCAATAATTCTCATTCGTGTGTTCTTTCCTTCTTCACCTTCCTCTTCTTAGAGACACTCCCACCATCCATCTCCTCCTGCCCCATCTCCCCGCCTTCAGCACCGAACCCCAACATCGCCATCTCACTCCCCAGCTCCAATTGCTCCACAATCCCTCTCAACGCGCCCCCAGGCTTGCCTCCCCCTTTGCTCCCCGCATCATCCCCTCCATGCAGCCCCTTTCCCCCGTCATCACACCCCTTTCGCTTCTTGCCCTCACTTTTCATTTTCTTAGCCACTGACACCGTTGTGGCATCCACGGGTGTAGCGGGGGCTGGGAGCAGGTCTTGGAATTCTCGGAGCAGACCCTCCTTGCGCTGCTGCTGCTTCTGCCAGGCGTCCGGGCTCTCCAGGTACCTGGGCGTGTGAGGGGGGGAGAGGACGGGAGAAGTGCAAGGCATGAGGGGGGAGGGAGGAGTGGGAGGGAGGAGAGGGAAGGGAGGAAAGGGAGGGGAGGAAAGGAGAAGCGCGAGCAGGCATGAGGTTGCAGGAAGTGGCTGCCTCTGGCTATGCGTCATGGGCTCAAGGCAAGGAAGAGCAGGTAGAAGGCATGCGGCGACTCACTCTGCCAGGCCCATGTGGCGGAAGAGATACTTGAGTCAGTAACTTTCAGGAAGGAGAAAGGTCACTCTCCCTTAGAATCAAAGAGAGGGTGTGCGATGACTTCTCTGCCGTTGAAAATTCACACAAACTAGATCACTCTCACGCGAGGGCGGGCGGCAACTCACTCTGCCAGGCCCATGTGGCGGAAGAGCGGCCGCTGCAGCAGAGAGGAGGACGCCGACGAATAGCGCGTCGCCAGCTCAGACAGAATAATCTGTTTCCCCTCCACCCCCATGGCGTCAAATGCTGCCGACACCACGAAAGCGCCCAGCTTATCTGGCGCTGTTGTTGACAGGCGGGGCTTCAGGCTGAGTTGTTAGACAAGGGGGCATGGCCCGAGGGTGGGGGGAATAGGGGGACGAGATGGCCGCTTGAGTCAGCACAGCTTCAAACCGACTGGGCTGCGTGGGTCAGCGCAGCACAGGAAAATCAATGACCACAACGGGTACCTGGTGAGCATAGCAGCCTTGTTGTCAAGAGGAACAGCGCGAACACGGAAGAACACAGAGAGCACGCGGCTGCCCTTGATGAGGCAAGCCCAGTGAGAAACCCACCTGGTTAGCATGGTGGTCTTGAGGCCTGCTGGGACCGTGGGAGCACGGAAGAACGCCGAGAGCACGCGGCTGCCCTTGATGTCCGTGGCAAGGTGCATGAGGTGCGAGGGAGGCAGCGCGACAAGGGCCTGCAGCACTCGGTGGGATGCCGCCTGAGGGAGGATTGGGTGGGGCGTGGCATGGGTGGAGGTGGTGAGGTGCGATGGGGGCAGGGCGACAAGGGCCTGCAGAACACGGTGGGGTGAACCCTGGTGGTGGGTACGGGCTGTGTGGCGTGAGGCGTGGAACATGCTGGGCGAGGTGTGACGGGGGACATGAACATGTGGGGCAGCACGCAGTAGGTGCAGCCTCGTGGAGGCATAGGAGCTCACCCGTTCACCCGCTCTCCCGCTCTCCCGCTCTCCCGCTCTCCCACTCTCCCGCTCTCCCGCTCACCCCCTCCCCCGCTCTCCCGCTCTCCCGCTCTCCCGCTCTCCCGCTCACCCGCTCACCCGCTCACCCGCTCACCCACTCTCCCGCTCACCCGCTCACCCGCTCACCCGCTCTCCCACTCACCCGCTCACCCGCTCTCCCGCTCACCCGCTCACCCGCTCACCCGCTCGTCCGCTCTCCCGCTCTCCCGCTCACCCGCTCACCCGCTCACCTGCTCACCCACTCTCCCTTTGAACCGCTCACCCGCTCACCCACTCAACCGCTCACCCGTTCACCCGTTCACCCGCTCAACCCCTTACACGGTCTCCCGCACACCCACTCTCCCGCTCACCCGCTCACCCGCTCACCCCCTCACCCGCCCACTCGCTCACCCGCTCACCCGCTCACCCGCTCTCCCGCTCACCCGCTCACCCGCTCACCTGCTCACCCGCTCACCGCTCACCCGCTCTCCCGCTCACCCGCTCACCCGCTCACCCGCGCTCACCCGCTCACCCGCTCACCCCCTCACCCGCTCTCCCGCTCTCCTGCTCTCCCGCTCTCCCGCTCACCAGCTCACCCGCTCACCCGCTCACCCGCTCACCCACTCAGCGGCTCAGCGGCTCACCGGCTCACCCAGTCTCCCACTCACCCGCTCACCCGCTCACCCGCTCACCCGCTCACCCGCTCACCCGCTCACCCGCTGCCCCGCTCGCCCGCTCGCCCGCTCACCCGCTCACCCGCTCACCCGCTCTCCCGCTCTCCCGCTCTCCCGCTTTCCCGCTCACCCGCTCACCCGCTCACCCGCTCACTCGCTCTCCCGTTCACCGGCTCACCCGCTGACCCGCTAGCCCGATAACCCGCTAGCTAACCCGCTAACAAGCTAGCCCGCTAGCCCGCTAGTCCGCTAGGTGTAAAGGCGAAGAGCGGTTGCAGCGCCATGCACCCCATTAAGGACAGCGCGCCCCCTCACTGCCACAGGGACCAACGCAGTGACGCCCACCCCTGCTGCTCCTGTGCGGGGACTTGACACTCGTTATGGGAACAAGCACTCACAGGCGGGAAGGCGAAGATGGTCTGCAGCGCCATGCACCCCACGAACGACAGAGCCCCCCGCTCTGCCACAGGCACAGACGCCCACCCCTGCTGCTGCTGGCGTTTCTTGGCTCGGTTGGAGCGCTGGTCGTTGACCTGGGTGGTTAGCCAGCCGTCCAGCCAGAGCAGACTGCCCACGGCTGCTGCATCCGATGCCGCTGTGTCTGCTGCTGCTGAGGGTGTTGACGATGGTGGCGCGGGAGAGAGGGCGGCCAAGAGGGATTCGCATGCCTGGTAGGGTATGAATGAGGGTACAGGAGGCAGAAGGGACGGTCAGAAGGGAGCGCGGGTCGGTCCCCTGCAGCACGTGCCACGCATCGCATCACGCCACAGCAGACCGCCCACTGCTGCGGCATCAGATGCTGCAGTGCCACACCACACCACGAGCACCACACCACGAGCACCACACCACGAGCACCACACCACGAGCACCACACCGCGAGCACCGCACCACGAGCACCACACTACGAGCACCACACCACGAGCACCACACCGCGAGCACCACACCACGAGCACCAAACCACGAGCACCACACCACGAGCACCACACCACGAGCACCACACCACGAGCACCACACCACGAGCACCACACCACGAGCACCACACCGCGAGCACCACACCGCGAGCACCACACCGCGAGCACCACACCGCGAGCACCACACCACGAGCACCACACCACGAGCACCACACCACGAGCACCACACCGCGAGCACCAAACCACGAGCACCACACCGCGAGCACCAAACCACGAGCACCACACCGCGAGCACCACACCACGAGCACCACACCACGAGCACCACACCGCGAGCACCACACCACGAGCACCACACCGCGAGCACCACACCACGAGCACCACACCACGAGCACCACACCACGAGCACCACACCGCGAGCACCAAACCACGAGCACCACACCGCGAGCACCACACCACGAGCACCACACCACGAGCACCAAACCACGAGCACCACACCACGAGCACCACACCACGAGCACCACACCACGAGCACCACACCACGAGCACCACACCGCGAGCACCAAACCACGAGCACCACACCGCGAGCACCACACCACGAGCACCACACCACGAGCACCACACCGCGAGCACCACACCACGAGCACCACACCGCGAGCACCACACCACGAGCACCACTCACCCTCGTCTGAAACGTCTTGGTTCGCCCACACGCAATGAGCAGCGCCAGCACCACTCGCCCCCTTCCCCCCTTCAACAGCGCCGACAACCCCTCCCCTCTCCCTCCCCCCTCAATCCCCCCGGTCTCTCCCCCCTCTCCCTCCCCCCCTTCTCCTCCCCCCTTCCCGCCGCCCGCGAGCGCCTTGAAAGCTCGTTTGACATCAGTGGGGTTGTCGAGAGCGGAGAGCGCGGTCTGCACGGTGTAGTTGGCGATGGGGTGGAGGGCTAGAGGTAGCAGGCGGGGGAGGAGCGCCACGCGCAGGAGGGAGGTTCGCAGGGAGGGCGGGGCGAGGAGGAGAACAGTCTGCAGGAGGAGTGGGGAAGTAAGGGGTGGGAATGGATGGGGCAGGGGTCGAAGGGGAGGGAGCAGAGGAGGTGAGCGGGCAGGGTGTCACATCATCAGCACTAGGGGGAGGAGCGCCACGCGCAGGAGAGAGGCGCGCAGAGAGGGTGGGGGCGAGAAGGAGAACGGTCTGGGCAGGGGGAGAGGCGAGAGGGAGAGGAGAGAGGGGAGAGGAGAGAGGTCAAAGGAGAGAGGGGAGAGGAGAGAGGGGAGAGGAGAGAGGGGAGAGGAGAGAGGGAAGAGGTGGACGGGGAGATGGGGGAGGGGAGAATGGGGAAGGGAGAGGGGGAGGTGGAAAGGTGAGGGGAGGGAGGAAGAGAGTTGGATTGGATGGGTGCTTGTCTGTCTGTCGCTGTGTGTGCATATGGCTTGACTATGGTGAGTATGCCTCTGCACAAGAAACAGCGTGCGGCGGCTCTTTAGAGATAAGCAATCGACTAGAGATGGCTTAAACCATGCGAGCATCCCATCCCATCTCACCTCCATGAATCTCGACCCACATCGGTCCTTCATAAGGTATAAAATCTGCTCTACCTCCTGGTCCACCTCATCCCCTCCCTCTCCTTCCTCTCCCCCCTCTGCTCCTCCTCTCCCCTCCTCATCTCCTTCATCTCCCCCCTCCCCCCTCTCCTCCTCTTCCCTTCTGCCTCTTTTCTTCCCACACCCTCCCTCTTGCCTGCCCGACGCTTCCCGCTTCCTCTTTTTTGCTGCTGCCCGGAGCGAGGCCTCGGGCAGGTGGAGCAGGGAGGTGATGACGTGGGTGAGCAGAGCAGCATCGTCGCGAATCACGTCCAGCATCACCTGTGGCAATCGAGGAGGAGAATGCATCCAGCATCACCATTGAAGGTGCAGGGAACGGGAATGGGAATGGGGATGGGAATGGGAATGGGAATGGGAATGGGAATGGGGATGGGAATAGGGATGGGAATGGGAACGGGAATGGGAATGGGAATGGGAATGGGAACGGGAACGGGAATGGGAATGGGGATGGGAATGGGAACGGGAATGGGAATGGGAATGGGAATGGGAATGGGAACGGGAATGGGAATGGGAATGGGAATGGGAACGGGGACGGGAATGCACATCGGAACATGCGTTGTGAATACGACCCTGCGTCGTCGCGAATCACATCCAGCATGTCCTGTGCAGAGGCAAAGGTGTGGAATACCCATCCAGAGCGGAAGGTGCTCTGACGCCATGTGTGGTGCGTTATGGACGCGACTCAGCATCGCTGCGAACTACATCCAGCATGGCCAGGGCTGATGCACGCACGGATGAGATTCAGTGAACATAGACACGGTGAGATATGCCTGCACACGAAGGGAAGAGCAACATTCATAACCACGGCATCCCTCTCACCTGCAGCAGCGGCCCAGCAGCGGGGTCACAGGCAAGCGTCCACGAGTTCCCGTACGGCGACCACGCCACAGCGGACGATGGAATCGCCTCCTCCGCGCCCGCTGCTGCTGCCGCCATTCCACGGACCCCAACCCGAACCACACCACCCGTCTCACCTGCAGCAGAGGCCCAGCAGCGGGGTCGCAAGCCAGAGTCCACGAGTCCCCATAGGACGACCAAGAGACAGCGGAAGACGGTATCGCCTCCTCCGCCCCCGCTGCTGCTGCCGCCACCCCCACCACCACCTGCTGCAGCAACGCTGGAAACCCCAGCGCCCCCCCCACCCTCCTCCCTTGCTCCGCTGCCGCTGCTGCCGCCACTTCCTTTTCTACTTGCCACCCTGTGCCCTGCCCGGACATCCCGGGCAGGCTGGGAACGAATCCACCAGATGTGGGTTGGAAATTTCCAGCAGCCCGTTGGATTTGCGGCGGCAATCGCCCGCCCGACCTGCTACCCGCTCCGTCCCTCTTCTTCTCCTCCCGGCCCTCCTCCCCTCCCTCCTCCCTCCTCTCCTCCCCACCCTCTTTCTCCGCCCCGCCCTGCCGCCCCTTCCTGGTCCCCTCGGCTGCGGCGGGCGTGTCGTTGATAGGCCGGCATGCCAGCAGCAGCAGCAGGGAGCGCAGCACGTGCGAGCAAGCAGGACTCGTTATGGCTGCTAGCGGGTATGCTGCCACCTCTGCACAGATCTTCTTCATAACCACCCTCAATGTTCCGGTCCATTTCGGCAAATCCCCCTCTCCCCCGCTCCCCTCTCCTCCCATCCCCTCCTCCTCCTCCCCCTCATCCTCCTCCTCGACTCCCGCCCCCGTTTCGTCCAATCCTGCGCTGCCACCTGTCCTCCTCTCTCCAGTCACCCACCCCCGTATATTCTGCAAGCCAGCTTCTACCACCCGGGAAGCCAACCCATGCGCTAAGATATCCCGACACAGATTCACCTCCCGCTCCCCTCCCCCATCCCCCTCTCCCCCCGCGCTTCCCCTCCCCCCCGAATCTCCCCCCGCTCTCCCCCTCCCCGCGCAGCAGCATGCGCCGGCGAGAAAGCGCGCGGCAGCGGCGGGGGGGGCGGCGGAGAGGAGGGGCTCGAGCGTGCGGCAGGTCTGGGAGTCCCACAGCAGCGGGTGCTCCTTGCCCCGAGCCTCCTCGAGAGCATTGGCAGCGATGGAGGCTCGGGCTGAGGTGCGGGGGGAGGATTGGGGGGGGATGAAGGGGAGTGGTGGAATTGGGGAGTTTGCGGAACAGCAGGGGGGAGCGAAACAAGAAGAGTGACAGAGGTGTGCGGAAAGGGAGAGAGACGGGGTTTAAGAAGGGGATGAAGGCAGCCACCTGCCGAAACTAGTTACCATCAATTTTTACCCTACGATTTCAAGAGACTTTTTCTGAGCAAGAATTTTTCTCAAAACGACAAAAGTGTTCTACAAGCCCGCTGCCACGTATGGCTAAAACCACCACCAAGTGGTGCTCTCTTGAAAGAGGTGTGCGGAAAGGGAGAGAGACGGGGTTTAAGAAGGGGAGGAACAAATGAAGTGGCCAAGGGACGAGAGGAGAGGACGAGAGAGGATAGTATTCTGGAAAGCGACGAACGTGGGAGTAAACACAGCGGAACGTGCTGCGGGGGAGAGTGAGAATGGCAGCAAGTCTACACTACAGCTGAGGGAATGAGCGGCGCACCTTGGGGGTCGGTGGTCTCCTGCCAGGTGCTCGCGATTTCCGTGAAGTAGTGCGACAGAGAGGGGTCCAGAAGCACGCGGCTGGCGAGGGGAATGGAGGGAGGAGAGAGGAATGGAGGGGCAGAGGGAGGAGAATGGGGGTTCAGTGAGTGAAGCACAGCGACAGAGAGGGGTCCAGCAGCACGCGGCTGGCAGAACAACGGGAGAGAGGGACGGCGCGAGGCGAGCAGGAGACGAGGGTTAAGAACCCTAGGTGATCGGAGGCTGATTTTGAGAATTCTGCAGGGTGTTTTTGAGAATTCTGCAGGATGTTTTTGAGAATTCTGCAGGGTGTTTTGAGAATTCTCAAAAACACCCTGCAGAACCCCAGGTGATGGGTGGCTTTTCCTCAGGTGATGACGATTTCCGTGAAGCAATGCGAGGCTCAGCGAGTGAAGCACTGCGACAGCGAGGGACCCAGCAGCAGCACGCGGCTGGCAGAACAACGGGAGAGAGGGACGGCGCGAGGCGAGCAGGAGACGAGGGTTAAGACAAAACCCTGAGGGTATCGGGGGTTTCGACCAATGACCAATGACCAATGACCAATGACCAATGACCAATGACCAATGACCAATGACCAATGACCAATGACCAATGACCAATGACCAATGACCAATGACCAATGACCAATGACCAATGACCAATGACCAATGACCAATGACCAATGACCAATGACCAATGACCAATGACCAATGACCAATGACCAATGACCAATGACCAATGACCAATGACCGATGACGTGAATCTGAATGGATACAGAAGGACGGGGGTGCAACGGCCAGCCGTGCGTACGGCGCAAGGGCGTGTTGTTCAGCCGTAGCGCCCTGCTCCGCGCCACCCGCGCCCGCTCCGCCGCCTGCGCTTCCGCCATAGCCGCGCCCGTCTCTCTTCCCGCCGCCTCCCCTGCCCCCACCGCCTCTTCCCCTTCCGCGCGTTCCGCCGCCTCCCTGCCACGCCATCGGCGCGCAGCGGTTAACTAAGAAAACGTGTTAAAGCCGCAGTCGTACGGATGCTATTATATCGACGGCGATATCAAAATATTTTGCGCTTTCGAAACCCTAAGTGCTGTCGACGTGCCTCACGTTGTCAAAATACTTTGGCAGTGCAAATGGGGAAACTACGCAGAATCCTGTTGCTTGCTGCTACCATGCAGCCTACAATGTCCTGTCTGAGGTGGGAAAACCAAGCAAACTCATTGCCTGAGCCCTAAAACCAGCAAAACCCTCAACGGCGGTGTCTGCGGCTTCCGAACGCGGGAGGATCGTCCGCGTTACGGAGCTACTTACGAAAGGAACCAGTGTGGTCAGAATGTACACACAATGCACCAAATACAATTTCTGTTGCTCTGATCGACACTAAGGATACTGAGATTTTCAACCAACTTGACACTTTCTCGCTTTAATAATGCACGTGCATACATGTATTTATAACTCGATTAGCAAATACAATGCGCAATATGAGACATGTATGGTAAGCTCAGACTACAATTGCTGCTTCTTAAGTATTGTCCCTAAGGTGCCACATGCACATCAATCCATGTCAATCTGTCTTGAAATGGAAGAATTAGGACGCCAAGACAATGGCGTGAGGTTTAGATCTAGGAGCTAGGCGAGAAGTTGAGAGAAAAGAGGACTAGAAAAGAAGAGAGGGATACAAGGAGGGGTGTTGTACCCTCTACAGTAATGTTCAGTAACGACTACCAAGCCTACAATTGTATGCTAACATATATAATTTAACACACCCCCTAGGCTTGGTAGCAGTAGGACCCACACACCCCCACACCCTCTAACCTAACACCCCCATATCAAACATGTTTAGTTATCATGCTTGTATAGACTGTATAGGGTCATCTTCTAGAGAGTACAACAGTTAGGTATATGTTTGTGTACTCTCTCTCTCTATTCATTAATTTCACTGTTTGATATGGTATCACGCGTAGGTAGGATCCCCCCCCCCCCCCCTCACGCTTCCGCTCGCCCCCTAGCTGGGCCCCGTCGTGCTCCTAGCCCCGTCGCGACCCTCCCTAGCCCCGTCGCGACCCTCCCTAGCCCCGTCGCGCCCCTTCCTGGGCCCCGTTGCGCCCCTTTCTGGGCCCCGTCGCGCTCCTCCCAGGCCTCGTAGCGCCCCTCCTGGGCCCCATTGCGCTCCTCCCAGGCCCCGTCGCGCCCCTTCCAGGGCTTCGTAGCGCCCCTCCAGGCCCCGTCGCGCCCCTTTCAGGGCTTCGTAGCGCCCCTCCAGGCCCCGTCGCGCCCCTTCCAGGGCCTGGTAGCGCCCCTCCAGGGCCCCGTCGCGCTCCTCCCAGGCCCCGTAGCGCCCCTCCTGGGCCCCATTGCGCTCCTCCCAGGCCCCGTCGCGCCCCTCCCTAGCCCAGTCGCGCTCCTCCCAGGCCCCGTAGCGCCCCTCCTGGGCCCCATTGCGCTCCCCCCAGGCCCCGTCGCGCCCCTACCTGGGCTTGGTAACGCCCCTCCAGGCCCGGTCGCGCCCCTACCCATCCCCGTCGCCCCTGCTCGGCCCCGTCGCCCCTGCTCGGCCCCGTCGCGGCCTATCGGCCGCGTGGCGCCCGCCCGGCCCCTGTCGCGGCTGCCCGGCCCCTGTCGCACCTGCCCGGCCCCTGCTCGCCCGCCCGGCCCCGTCGCCCCTGCCCGGCCCTGCTGTGGCCTGCCCGGGCCCCGTCCCTGCCGCCCGGCCCCGTCACCGCTGCCCGGCCCCGTCGCAGCCGCCCGGCCCCGTTGCAGCCGCCCGGCCACGTCGCAGCCGCCCGGCCACGTCGCAGCCGCCCGGCCCCGTCGCCCCTGCCCGGCTCTGCTGTGTCCGGCCCGGCCTCGTCCCTGCCGCCCGGCCCCGTCGCAGCCGCCCGGCCCCGTCGCAGCCGCCCGGCCACGTCGCAGCCGCCCGGCCTTGTCGCTGCCGCCCGGCCCCGTCGCCGTCGCCCGGCCCCGTCGCAGCCGCCCGGCCCTGTCGCCGCCGCCCGGCCTTGTCGTGCCTGCCCGGCCCCGACGCACCTGCCCCGGCCCTCCATACTTCCTGGTACTGTCCCCCGTTCCCCGCCCCACTTTGCACCCTCCTGCACTTTCCTGCCCCGCCTTGCATCGCCTTGCACCTCACTGGATCGCACTGACCGCACTGCACCGCACTGGACCGCACTGCACCGCACTGCATCGCACTGCACCGCACTGGACCGCACTGCACCGCACTGCATCGCACTGCACCGCACTGCACTGTCCTCCACTGCCCCTCATGGCTGCTGAGCTTCGTTTTGATGTTGAGGGTCAGCCTCTGGAGTTCGAGGCGTGGTTGGCTGACCTTCGCCGCCACCTCACTGGCCAGCGGCAGGACGGCCACCCGCTTTCTGCACACCTAGACGGTATGCTCCCCTGCCCTGACCCCCCTGCTGTGCTGCCCGCTGATCCCACGCCCGCTGAGCGCGAGTCCACTGCCGCTGCTGCCCTTGCCCGCTCTGTCTGGCTTTCCCGCGATGCCCTTGCTCAGCTCGCCATTAGCAATGCCCTCCCCCCCACTGAGCGCCCTCGCTTTAGAACCATTCCTACCGCCCAGGCCTACCTCGATGCTGTCATCAAGCGCTATTCTACCCCTCCTGCTGCCTCAGTGGGTCGCCTGATCCTTCCCCTGCTCTTTCCTGACCTGGCGTCTTTCCCCACTGTCTCTGACCTCGCTGCCCACCTGCGCTCGATAGATGAGGCCTGGCGCGCTGCCTGCACTGATGCTCAGCTTAGAGTCCACCAGCCTCCCATGACCTCTACCCTCTACCTCCTTGCCACCCGCCTACCTGACCGCCTTGCCGCCGCCCGCGACCAGTTCCTTAACATCCACCCTGCTGCTCTCACCCTCACCGACTTTGTTGACACCCTGACTGCCATAGAGACTCGTCACCGCTCCATAGCCCTGGCGAGCGGTACAGTACCGGTCCCTATCTTTCAGGGTTGTGCCCCCGCTCAGTGTACCTTCTCCGACGGCTCTGTCGCTGTGGCTGAGACTGCTGCTGCAGTGCAGTCCCGCTCGGCGAAGGGCCGCCGCCCCAAGGTTGGGAGCGGCGGAGGCGGCGGGGGTGCGGGTGGGGTAGTGGTGGAGGCGGGTCGTCCGGTGCCGGTGCGGACGTGGGGACCCTGCCCGGTCCAGCTGCCCCGCTGCCTCCACAGTTGCAGCAGCCGCAGCAGCAGCAGTCGCCGCAGCCGCAGCCTTCGCAGCAGCCGCAGCAGCCGCCGCAGACGAGGCAGGCGAGTACTCTCCCACCTGGGTGGCCTGGAGCTGGTGGTGGTCGTGCGCGTGGTGGTGCACCGGGTGGTGGTTCTGGAGGCGGGCCCTGTCAGTACCAGATCCAGACCGGTCCTCGCCGCGGCTTCGTTTGCGGTAAGATCGGTCATTCTACTCCTCGCTGTTTTCGTCGCCTGGACGACCTGTTCCGCCAGCGCTTTGGCCCGGCGCCCGACCTCCCGGACTGGCACAGCTTGCTTAGGCGTAGCATTAGGATTTTTGACTTGGACATGGATGCCATTGTAGCGGCCTTGCATGTGATGTATGCTGATGACTCTAGTGTGCTTCCCTCTTATTACCCCGTGTTGCCTAGTGTAGCGGTGCCTAGCGTAGACTCCCCTGCTGCGTCAGGCGTAGGATCTCCTGCTTTGCTTAGCCTTGGTGCTTCCACCGCTTCACTGCTGCCTCGCGCGACTGCTGCGCTTTCCTTCACTTTGGACTCTGGCGCCTCCCGGTGTTTCTTCCGCGACTCCACGACGCTGACGCCGCTGCCTGTTCCCGCTGCAGTTACTCTTGCTGACCCCTCCGGTGGTCCCGTCGTTGCCCGCAGTTCCACCTCCCTTCCCTGTCCGGCGGTTCCTTCGGGCACTCTCACAGGTCTGCATATCCCCTCGTTCTCCAGGAACCTAGTTGGTGTCGGCTGCCTCCAGGACCTTGGCGTCACCACTACGTTCCCTGGTCACGAGCGGTATGCTGTCTGTACCGAGGCCGCCACTGGTGCCCCCCTTACCACTTTCCCCCGGGACCCGGTGTCCGGCCTGTTCACACTTGACACCGCGCCGTCCCCAGCTGGGTCTTCCCCCCCGGTAGTTGCGTCCACCCAGGTTGCAGCCGCGTGCTCCTGTCGGTCCCTCACTCACCCGACTCTCCTTTGGCACCACCGCCTTGGTCACCCTGCACTCCCACGTCTGCGTCACATGTCCCAGCACGGTCTCGTCCTTGGTCTCCCCGGTTCGTTCCCCGAGTTTCCCTCCTCCCCCGCCCCACCGTGCACGCCTTGTGTCGAGGGCCGGCTCCGCCGTGCCCCTCACTCCTCCTCTTTTCCCCCTACCACCGCACCACTGCAGACTCTGCACATGGACGTCTGGGGCCCAGCCCCGGTCCATGGGCCGCGTCGCGAGCGCTTCTTCCTAGTGCTTGTCGACGACTTCACGCGCTACACCACCGTCTTCCCCCTGGAGCGGAAGGCCGACGTGCCTGACGTTCTCATCCCCTGGCTTGTCTCTGCTCGTGTCCACCGCGGTCTCCCTGCCTTGCGCCTTCACTCCGACCGGGGTGGCGAGTTTGCCTCAGGTGTCCTTGGTCGCTTCTGTCGTGCGGAGGGCATCACCCAGACGTTTACCCTGCCGGACTCCCCGCAGCAGAATGGGGTCGCTGAGCGACGCATCGGTTTGGTCATGGAGGTGGCTCGCACCTCCATGATCCACGCCGGTGCACCCCATTTTCTGTGGCCGTTCCGCCGTGCGCTACGCCGCTCACCAGCTTAACCTGTGGCCGCACCCCCAGCGGCCGCAGGTTTCGCCGACCCTTCTGTGGACCGGGTCCCCTGGTGACGCGTCTGCGTTCCGCGTCTGGGGCTGCCTTGCTCACGTTCGTGCCTCTGGCACGGACAAGCTCACTGCCCGCACCCTCCCCTGCGTCTTCCTCGGTTTCCCCCTTGACGCGTCCGACTGGCACTTCTACCACCCGCCGTCTCACCGCTTCTTTCACTCTCGTGACGTCACCTTTGACGAGTCCGTCTCCTTCTACCGCCGCTTTCCCCACCGTGGTCCCCCGGTTACTCCCCCCCTTTTCCTGGTTCCTCCCTCCCTGGTGGTCCCTGCCCCTCCCCCCCCCCGCCCCCCCGTCCGGCCCCCTCTGGTGTGTCTCACGTCACCCCCCTCCCGTCGGTCGTCCCGGTCGA